TCAGTCTGTTTCTCTCCTGATGGAAATACATTAGCTTCTGGTAGTGAAGATAAGTCTATCCTTCTATTATATCAAAAACAAGTATTTTTCAGATTATAGATTTATAGAAATTTAGGTTAAAAATGCAAAATATCCTTTTTTCACACACTTTTGCAGAAAAATAATATATACATAATTTAGATACATCTAATAATATGGTTTACCCAAACTTCAATTTTAAATTTTTCAAGGTTTAAGAGAGTTTTATATAAAAAATCGTTTCCTTTTAAGAGAATTATTGGAGTAACACTTGATTAATTTAACAACAAACCTATATTAACCCTTAATTTAAATCTATTTTAATATACTTCTTGTGTCCAATATTTGGTGATAGAGTTCTATTTTATAGTTTTTTTCTTTTTTAACAATCTTGAAGCATTACTAAAATGGAAATTTAGCACATTTTAAAATATTATGAAATAGAACTTTTAGTTGCATGAATGCAATAATATCTTAAATCTTTGTATACTGTTTTTTTTTGGTATTATTCTTATCATAACCAAGCATTTTCTCTCAATTTATATTTAGAATGTGAATAGTACCAGATTTATAAAGTAGATTCGACAACGAAATCTTTCAGCATTTATCATTTCTAGGTTATCTAATCTTCGTATTTCATGAGAGTCAATATATTCTAATATTAACAAAATAATATTTTTCTCAACTCATATTTAATTAACAGTAATACTATTAGTTTTTATTAAATTGATTTTATAAACTTTAAATTTTCAAAATGTTATTGAAAAATTTTTATTAGTAAAATACTTATTTTGGAAATTTAAGAGAAAATACCCAAACATTTAAGTGTGGCTAATATGAATGCTTTTTTATATATTTAAATAAATTATTGTCCAATTTATCTTAAGTGGTTGTTATAGAGAAGATAAATTTTATTAAGATTGTTCATTGTGTTTATCAAATACCAATAAATATTTCCTTTTTAATTCTACAATTTAGGTGCAATTTCTTAATTTAATTGTAAAATATAACCAGTTGATGAGTTTTTAAAGACTTATAGTATATTATTTTTGAATAGATATTGATTAATTTTGTAAAAATCATAACAGTGATTATACATTGAGTAATAACTGTTTATTATTTGATGTATGTAAAATTTCACGTTGAACTCAAGTTAATCAATAATTAAGATTCATATATAATAAGGTTAGAGAAGATATAATTATCTCCTTAAATCTTAATAATTTCAAAATTATAATATTTTTTAATATGTTTTCAAAGAAATAGTTTAGAAGATTAACTTTATTTTTTTAATTCTTGTCATATCTTTTTTATTATTATCTTTGTTATTAAATATATCTTTTACTATTTATAAACTAATTTTACAAAATTATTAATTATATCTATTAAGACTTATGTTTATAAATAGTAATAAATTAAATAAATAATCAGAATATCTTATGAAATAATCATGTAGTTTTTTGTTAAGTTAGGTTTCAATTAAGTAATTAAAATCAATCTTTATTTTAATCTCTTCATTTAGCTTACTGATCTTTGTTTGGATTATTAATTTTATGTAGTTTCATTTAACATTAAATCTCTATAAATGCTAAAAA